GGTGTCACTGTCTCAGCCACCCATGAAAAAGTTTTGGTTTTTGGAGTATTACAGATTTCGAAATTCTGGATAAGGAAGACTCAACATGTAGTAGACCTTTTAAAAGAGAGTAATAAATTACAAGTAATCCAGGGTGAACCAAGTAAACAATATAGACAAACAAGTGAATAGAGTTCAGTTCCAGGAACCAGGTTTTTTCAATGTGGGGAAAATCAACTCATACTGTAGGAGCAGAGGCTGTGCATTGTCTAAGAACAAAAAATGTGATTTATCTGCTTACTATACATTCATTGTATTGTATTGTAGCTTCTGCCAGCAGAACTGAGACTTTATTACTTCTTCCCTTGTAACTCTCTATGTTGCTAAAAACCTGCTACCTAGGGTTTCCTAGACCTCTCAACCAGCTCTTGCTGCCTGGCATCCTGTTGGTGACTTATGACAACATAAGCCAAATTTATGCCTGCTTAAGTCATTTTTGGTCACTGTGGAGATTGGAATTATTTACCAACCCATGCACAATGACTAAACTTGACACACAGCATTGATGACATCCTTCAGGATCTCTGGAGGACAGTGTGTGAGGGTCACAGGATACTTCATTGGCAGGTAAGTTAGAATGGTTTTTTTGGGAGGTGTAGCAGCTAAAGTGTTGGTTTGTGGCAAGTGAAAGGGGGGGCATTTCCTTGTTTTGCCTCTGTGTAACTTGACAATGCATTTCCCAATTAGGATTGCCAGAGTGAAAACTGGAGGTGGCTCTTGTATCTTTAAGACTGGTGTAGAAGAAGGAATTTCAGCAGGTGTTACTTGTTACCTGGTTGCATAACATGCAACACTTGCTGAATTCCTTCTTCTACACAACCATTACAGATGCTGGGACCATCTCCAGTTTTCACTTTGGTAAACCTACTTCTGATTCAGGATCTTGGCCAATATCACAAGGGGGTTGTCCTCCCAATTTCACTGGCAGAAGCAGCAGTACTCAACTTACAGCAACCTTATGAGTGAGGCACCTCCAAGATGCCATATCCTTATAGGTCTTGCAGATTCATGCTCATGGCCTCTGAGATTGAGTCCATCCATCTAGCATATGGTCTCCCTCTCTTTCTGCTGCCTTCTAACTTTCCTAGCACTATTGTCTTTTTTAGTAAGTCATGCCATCCAGGAAAGCAAGTTCAGGCTGGATTTGTTCTAGGACTCATTTGTCTTTTTGGCAATCTACAGTATGCACAGAACTCTTCTCCTGCAGCACATCTCAAATCAGTTGATTTTCTTCCTGTCACATTTCTTTTCCATCCAGCTATCACATCCATACATAGTGATGGAAAATACAATGGCAAAAGCATTGTAGGATTTAGTAGTAGTAAGAATAGGCTAATTTAATTTTTCAGACTTAAGGAAGGAGATATTGGACCTTTGCAGACTGCTAGAAATAGTGCAAATTGAGTCCACTTTAAGGGTTAGTGTTAGTGTTAGGGAATCATGCAAATTGGTTTTTTTCTGAGACATTGAGCCTTCTCTATCAGAGAGCTCTGGTGCCACAATAAAATACAGTTCCCATGATTCCCTAACCCTAACCCTAAGCCTAAAATTGGACTCAATTTGCATTATTTCTGGCAGTCTGCAAAGGCCCACAGATAAGATGGGTGGAGGAGAGAAGGGGGGGAATGGGAATTTGCAGTTGTTTATCTGGGTTCAAGCTGAGCATAGGGGCCATTTCCTCCAAAACAATGGGGGTGGAGTAATAGAGATGGTAAACAAATGAAACACACTCAGCAACTGGAAATGTTTTGTTATGTTTTATTTATTTTTTAAAAACTTTTGTATAATGCAATTTTGTATTGTTTTAGCACGATTACTTTTATTGTTTTCAAATTTTGATTGTAAAGTTTTTAACTGATTTTATCTGTGAGCCACCTTGGGCCCCTTTTGAGGAGAAAGGTGGCATACAAAATAAGTAAATAACCAGAGTTAAAGTTATTGGTTCTGATTCTGTCTATACTCTACACCTCTCCTAGGGCTCTCTGTCCTGTGAAACTTGGGCTGCTGTGGCCAGTACAAACTGCACTTTGTTGTTGTGTGCCTTCAAGTCATTTCTGACTTATGGTGACCAAAAGGCAAACCTATCACAGGGTTTTCTTGGCAGAATTTGTCAGAGGGGGCTTACCCTTGCCTTCCTCTAAGGCTGAGAGAGTGTGACTTGCTCAAGGTCACCCAGTAGGTTTCCATGCCCACCAGAACTTGAGACATTAGGTTTTTTGGACAATGGCTCCTGGAATTCCCCATCATTCCAGGCTCTGCAGGCCACAGTTGCTGATTCCCTACCTGAACTTTCCAAGCCTTCCTACTCTTCTTATGAAAATCATGGGAGATTCAAGTCTTTGAATTTTTAATTCAGTCTTTAAAATACTATTACCTTGAGTATTTCCCTGATATAAAGCCTTAGACTGCAATTCTATACACACTTAGCTGGGATTGTATCTCAGAGTGAAGATATATAGGACTGCACTTTGTCTATCTCAAAATTACTCATGCTATTTTGTGGTCAGTTCTTCTAATGTATTTACTTACAGCACATATAAATGATGATCCCAGGATCTGACACACTTATCTGACTGATTCCTTCTGCTAACAAGGAAATGTTCAAAAGTAAGGACAATATAATACTTGATGATAATGATGATGATGATATATTTAAAAGTATTTTAAAATTAAAAATAAAATCTGGAGAAATCACAGCAACTGCTCAAGGCCACAATTGTCCAGGCTTTGTGGAAGAAAGATCATTAGTTGAATCACTGATGAATATGATAGTCAAAGTCATTAAGGGTGTGCCTACACTGTATAAATAATGCAATTTGACACCATTTTAAGTGTTGTAGCTCCATCCTCAGTGCATCGGTGGTATGGAAATGTACTTGCTATCCTATGGAATCCTAGGATTTGTAGTTTCACAAGGTCTTTAGTCTTCTCTGTCAAAGAGTGCTGGTGCTGAATTATTTCTACAGTGTAGATTCGCCTTAACTGTGATTTACAAACATGATGGGAACAATTTCAGTTACATTTAAGAAACATGTTAGTGACTTTGAATATACAAGCCAGGGACTATAGTCATTTTAAAAAAATCAATTCCACTTGAACAGAAGTGTGATCTATGACTGAGCACTCCAAAGGAGAAGAATCTTTTGAAGCTATGAAGGGATGTTCAGTTGGTTGGTTAGTTAATGCCTTGGAAATCCTCATGTAACAACAAACAAACAAGGATCAATTGTGAGCTTCCAGTCACTGTTGTACTTATTACAGGTGTGCATGAAACATTCTCTAAACCCACCATTCTTGTGTGTCCTTTTGGAGCATGGCTAGAAAAAGGGTTCCCCCAGATATCTTGCCAAGACATATCCTTTGCCACTAGATCATGGATGTATATGAACAGCTGTACCCTTTCCTATGGGAACACGAATAATATTCATAACCTGCCCTCTCACTTTTATGTTATTTTTTTTTAAAAGAAAGGCATCTCATGAGTTCACTTTGGTTTCTATATAATGAAGTACTACTAGACCGAAGAATCACTTGTGGCAGGTAGCATGGAAATTTCAATAAAGTAAACTCTCAGTATTATCAAAATTATACATTTGGGGCTGTTAGCATGGCCTAGAAAAAGATGAGGACAGGCTCATCTCATTAAATGAGAAGAAATAGTGGAATTAGCTTGAATCTAATTACAAACCACACTATCTAATGTAAAAACATGACTGTTTTTCACTCCCATTCATTTTGGCTAGTAATTAGTTTTGGCCTCTAAAATGCCACCCTTTAATCATCCAAACACAGATGTGATTTGCCGTGCAATTTAATCTTGCTTTAATGAAGAACTAATGGACGCATCGCAAATTACTTTCCCTGTTGGAGAAAAATTCTATTTCCTGCTTTTCAAAAGATCAAGAGTATCTTGTGATAATAGCCCAAGCGGCCCTGGCAGCCTCGTTGCGCAGAGCAAACAAGCTCTTTTACTCAACTCCCAATTCAATGGAGAAAAAGAGGCTACAATTAGCAACAAAGCAGGGGAAACGCGGCATTACAGCCGAATCACTTTCTGCAGCTCAACCCCCGGCAACCACTGCCTTGTTAGAGCCAGGTCTAAAGTGTCAGGAGCGAACAATGCACCATGATAAATTACTCTCTTCAAACAGCTGCACTGCTAATTTTCAATTATACACACAAATGGATCTCAGATTGGAAGAAAATGGGGAGCATGGGGTTGTAGATTTCTGTGTTTGTTTGGTGGGAAGAGTGAAGGTGGGAGAGTACCCCCCCCCCCGAAGGAAACCGGTGCCAGCTGAAGAACCATCTCAAATCCTATCCTATGGAAGGCTCTTTCTGCCTTCTTGGGGATGCACACAGGTGATCATTCAGGGATTTGGAGGTGTGAAGGGTGTGTCCAGATTGGTTCACAGTGGTGCAATTGTTCCAGGCTTCTCACTGGCTGGAGCCTGGCACTTAAGCAAAAGGTATTGCTTGCTTCCTCCTCTTCCCCAGTTACATCCTGAATCTCCTGGCATTTCTGTTACCATCCACCAGTGATCTAGACTTGAGCCAATTGTCTCGGACTCAAGTTGCTTCAGTGACTCAACTTGGACTTGACTCGATAATAAATGATGTACTGATGCTACGCTACTCAAGACTTGTATATTTTTAGCAACCAACTTGCTAACTTCATCCATAAACAGAAAACATGTTAGGCAATGCGTTGAGGCCTACTCAGCAGCCTGTCTCCACTGCACATCCAGAGCCATCTTCTTCTTCTTCTTTATTCATTCCTGGAGATTCTGGTGTTGTAACCTGAGACCAGGGCGAGAGTGGCCCTTTTAATAAAATGGGGTAGTTCCCTGTGGGGGTAAGGGTTGGCAAATGGGCCAGAAGTGCTCCTAGGGTAGATGACTGTAGAAATGGCAGGTGGGCAATCTGGCTAAATGGGCCATAGATTTGTATAAAACCCAGCTAACTCAGTAGCTCAGTGGTTTGAGCGTTGGATTACAACTCTGCAGAACAGGGTTCGAATCCCCACTCAGCCATGGGCACATCACACTCTCTCAGCCTTAGAAGCAATGGTAAAGCTCCTCTGAGCAAATCTTGCCAAGAAAATCCCATGGTAGGTATGCTTTAGGGTCGCCAGAAGTCGGAAATGACTTGAAGCCACACAAGAATAACAACAGTAATGTGGCAGTCTAAAAAGCCTAGACACGTTTTAAAAAGCATTTTGACATCCCGGCAGGCTGAAAAATGCAGCCAGTAGCATCTGTGAACATTAGAATCTATGTTCTAACTCTGGAGTTGCAGAAAACAAGCTTGCTCAATTTTCTATGTGACATCCCTTCAGATATTTAAGGACATCTATCGTGTCACCTCTGAGTCTTCTCTCCTCCAAGCTAAATATTCCCATCTTCCTCAATAAGTTTGATTTCTAGACATTTGATAATTTTGGTGGCCCTTCTCTAGACAGGTTCCAGCTTGCCAATATCCTTTTTAAATGATGGCACTCAGAATTGGACACGTACTCCAGGAGGTCTGACCAAAGCAATAGAGTGACATTACTACTTTCTTCAGCCAGGACACTATAATTCTGTTGATGCAACCCAGAATTGCAATGGGCTTTTTGGTGACTGCATCACACTGTTGACCTATGTTTAGCTTTAGGGTCTACTAAGACCCCTAGATCCTTTTCACCTGTACTGATTTCAATCCAGATATGCACTTCTTATTTCCTGCCTAGATGTAGTACATTTGTTGTTGTTGTTGTGTACCTCAAGTCATTTCCAATTTATCCAATTTATTTTCCAACCCTTATCACAGAGTTTTCTTGGCACAATTTGTTCTGAGGAGGCTTGCCACTGCCTCCCCTGAGGCTGAGAGTGTGTGCCCATGGTCACCTAGTGCTTTTCATGACTGAGCATGGAATCAAACCCTAGTCTCCAGAGTTGTAGTCCAACACTCAAACCACTACACCACACTTCAGTTTATTGGTCTTGGCCCAGCTCTCCAGTCCAAAAAGTCAAGGTCATTTTGAATTGGTCTCACCAATCTATAAGTGCCAGGATTCTGTAAGATACCACCAGGACAGTTAAAGTGGGATCATAGCACTATACCTTTGTTGGGCGAAAAGGGCCCTGGTAGCAGTAGCCAAACACAGAAGATGGTCTCATGCTCAGATTCATTACTGTTTACGGTAGAGGATGGAGGCTCAGGATTAATGTGATCTCCTCTTTATGTACAGTGGTACCTCTACTTACGAAATTAATCCGTTCCGACAG